AACACGCTGCAATTACGTGGCGTCAAAAAGCACTTGCGTTTTTTCGAGACTTAAACGCTAAGTCCACGCATTAGGATTAGAAAAAAGATCTACAATTGCCTGAGATGCCTGGAATAACAGTTGATTCTTCATCTGTGTAGCTGAGAACTGTTACAGTTACTTTAGCCGGGCTGCATTACTTGCTGATTAGTTTAGTGCTTATGATCCTGGTGTTTGCTTTGCTTCCCGAAGGGGATTAAGTGGTCCTCTCAAACACAAGTTGGTCCGGGACAGACTCCTGGGGAGGGGAAGGGCGACGGTGGGTGAGGGCTTCGCTGAGACATTCTACTTTTAAGTGCGGTATTAATTCTTCTTAGAAGTGAAATTCCCTGCAAGTGGAAATACTGAAGTTTACCAAAAAGTTAGAAATGAGTGCATTTTGCAGCGAACGACCGCCCTTATCCTCTCCCAACAGCCAGCTGATTTACATACTTGGATTTTCTGACAAACGACCGCTCTAGCAACATTTTCATTTTTTAGTGAAGAACTAAAATTTTTGCATTTTCAAAAATATGCATTTCTCATTTTTTCGAAAGGCGAGCAATTAGCGAAAAAAGACTGGGCTTCATACAGAAAAACTGGTAAAAACGTACTTGGAGGTCCATGCGACCCTGTAATGCAACACCTTCGTCTCAACCAACGCCCTTTCTCCTGCGTGCCGGAAGAGGCCAAAGCACGGCCAATATGAGCCCAAGTCTTAGGCTACAGCAAAGGATCATTCCTGCTAGTAGCGGTCTGCGAGTTTAGTGTAAAAACGCATAATCACACTGGCAATTCTGGTGCCTCCCAGTCTGGGTGTGTCATTGCCGACAGCATTGCCAGCAGATGGTTGCTATTAGCATTTGCTATTTCCCGAATACCTTCTCCTGTGAAAAAGAGCGAGTGCGGAGGGAGTCTGAATTTTGAAACTGAGTGTAGAAGAGTTTAGGACAAAACATAGCGGTGGATGCAATCCGGAGCCCTCGAGCGGTCAGTGGCGAGCGGTCGTGGCAGTGATTTACAGCTGGCAAGCACTGCTTGAAGATGTGCTGATTTATGTGTTTCTCAGACAAAAAAAACCCCATCAGAAGAAACAAATATTCATTTTTTTTTTTTGCTGCAGCGCAGTGTTGCTTGTCCGTGTAACTTGTGCGAAGGGAAAATCGGCGG